TTCTTTTATATACAACCTACAACTTTTTAAGTCTTCAGTTAACTGTTTCCTAGTATTTTAACTTGTTTTAAAGTAACTCATAACTTAATAGTTGTTAAACTCATAACTAAATGTTGATTACAATCTTGTTGGAAGTAAATTAATAAATGTTGCTTGTAATCTTGTTGGAAGTAATTTACTAAAATGTTGCTTGCAATCTTGTTGGAAGTAAATTACTAAATGTTGCTTTCAATCTTGTTGGAAGTAAATTAGAGTTTGAAAATATATAAATATATGCCAGTAATTAATAAAAAGTAAATGTAATAAAGCATAAAGTTATAATATATAAAATATTATAAATTTTTTTCTAACGGCTATCAAACCCTGCTAAATCTTATAATTTTGCTGGGGCTGGATTTGAAAAAAGTCTCATTTTTAGCAACGGCTTGGGCCCTGGTCACTTACTAAATATATAGTACATTATTTGTGGTGACATACTATTCATTTTTCAAAAATTAGTAATATTTCTGCTTATATAATTGAAGCAAGTTTCAAACTAAAAGCAAATATTTGTTTACAATAATGTCATTGGTATGTAATACTAAAGTTTTTAAACTTTGATAATCATTTGTAAAAAGCATCCAATGATTAGTCTTTTCTAGGTTGTTATCTTGATTTAAAATTCTATTATCAGTGAAGCAACATTGGTGTTAATTGATTTCAATAGTTTCATAAATTTTTTTGTGTAGTTATTTGGAATGAACATTAAATGGAATAGTAGAATAAAATTAATAATAATGTTAATTTTCATCCCTAAGGCAATACATTAAAGACTCCACTACATTCAAGAGGCTACTTTAGTTGTGGTTACAACCAACTCTTAACTCTATAACTCCAAAACACGAACTTTGATGAACAAGGCTGCTGCATGGAGAAACAAATTGCGATTTTTGCTTATAAGGCAAGCGCTCTACAACTTCTCCTCTACCACATAAAAATACCCTAATAATAACATTTTTAACCAACATAATGTCAGCCTAGTAATTTAATAACAACTTATTATGTAGCTTTATTATTTAAGTATGTTTTTTAAACATGTGAGCCAAAATATTATTAGAATTATAAACATTTTCAAAAAATAAAATGTCACTGCAAATGATGTTTTTTTATTCTTATATATTATTATACTATTAAAATACTACACATATTTTTGTAGACTTGTAAACTTCATAAATGAAGTATATATATAACAGAGTACAAAATATTTTGGAAATCTTAAATAGAAACTCACAACATCATGGGTATACAGCAGATTGACTAGATTCAGTTTTCTTAACAGAACATTGACTAGCTTGCGGTTCTTCAGTTGACTGGTTGATATCTGTCTTGACAAATAATAATGTTTTTATCACCTTTAACATCTTTCAGAAAATTATATTTACCAAAATTACATTTTGTAGTTTCTCATTCGAGCAACCAAACCTTGCCTTTGTACACCACAACTTTTACATTTAGCTTTATTAACCTTTTTACCAAACTTTGAAGGTATTTCTTTAGCTTTTTAGCAAACTTTTAACTTTTTACCAAATTTTGAAGGTATTTCTTCAAACCGTTTTTAAAACATCTATTTTTCTACCAGCACCAGACATTTTTATTTCTAGTTATATTATTTTTATTTACAACTAAAAAACAAGAGCAATTATAAATGAATACTGTAATTTGAAAAAATTTGAAAATACTCTTATATAAAATAAATATATTTATATTTATTATATAAATAGTAATAAAAGCAGACACTAATGCAATTAGTCAATAAGTTAAACATGAAGAAGAAAAAATATGGAAAAAAAAGTCTTACAATAAATTAAAAAACTAAATGATTTATATGACTACTATATATTTTATTATATCTGATTATTATAACTAATACTAGTTTATTCAGTAGTTATATTTAGCTAGTGTAATTTACTTAAGTTGATTAATCAATAAAGAATCATTAAAATAATCAAAATCAAAAAAGTCAATTTAAATAATGATTTTTATTTGTCTGATTTAAATCGATTTAAATCAAATGATTTAAACAAATCAACTAACTAAACCAATCAACCAATCAACCAACCAAACCAATCAACCAAACAACCCTGTGTATAAAAAAAATTTAATTTGCTATTTATACTATTTTAAATAATTGTTTTATTAAACAAATAATAATAAACATTTAAAAAATATTATTTGGAATTGACTCTCTTATGATTATTACTACAGTTTTTCTTTGACTGTGCTTATGCTAAATAACAAAATATTCACATAGAAAAAGTTATTTAAAACACAGGTTTCTAAGAGTAATATAGGTCCCGCCATCTTGTAGTATATATGTATGATCACATGTTCATGTTGTTTCAAATCTCCATATTATTTATATAAATAATAAACTATGAATGAATGAATGAAACAATAACGTTTGATATCAAACAATTTTGTTAATATTCTATAAATTTTGACTTTGCCACATACAGCCGATAGCATCCATTTGCATATAAAGCTTTTCGTTTGATGCAGTTTTTTATCAAGAAATTTACCAAATATCAGTGTCATTTCATTTCTTCAATATTTAAATATGTTCAATAACATAATAAAGAATATAATTAGAGTTTAACTTTTTGTATACTTGTAGACTTCATATATGAAATATATATATAACAGAATACAAAATATTTTGGAAATATTAATTAGAGACTCACAATAGCATGGTAATGCAGCAAATTTAAACAAAAAAATGCATTCCTTTAATAATTGTTTATATATTACTTACTATTTATAAAACAATTTTTAATTTGCTATTTATACTATTTTAAATAATTGTTTTATTAAACAAATAATAATAATTATTAAAAAGTTAATTATTGGAATTGACTCTCTTAAGATTATTATTCCAGTTTCTTTTTTACTGTGCTTTAATCAAATAACACAATATTCACATAAAAAACATAAAATGCAAGAAAAACTTATTTAAAACTAAGTTTCTTAGAGTAATATAGGTGTAGCCATCTTGTAGTACATATATATGTATATATATGTATATGTATATATATATATATATATGTATATATATATATATATATATGTATATGTATATGTATATGTATATGTATATATATATATATATATATATATATATATATATATATATATATATATATATATATATATATATATATATATATATATATATATATATATAATCAATTAACGATAAATGGATAACATATACACATGCATATATTATATATAACTTTAAAGTACGTACACAACAAATATATATACATTTGTATATAATATATGATAAATAATATATAATATACTTTGTTAACATTACACTTTAATATATATATGTATATATATATATATCGTGTCTGAGCACTTATATAATTGAAAATAAATAGAAACTTCAATCTAACTAATTACTTTTTGTCTAAGTTTTGGGAGTATACGCAAACATCTTCTACACTCCAGTTAAGTTCTAAGTATACGCAAACATCTTCTACACTCCAGTTCAAATAAACTGCCATTTTTTAAATTTAAACAAATGATATATTTATTTATCTAAACAAAACTATTCGCAATATATAATGATATATCTATTTATAATATGCATAATAAAAGCATATAGGAATAAAAATAACTGCTCGAAAATAAAAATAAAAAACACGTTGCTTTTATAATCGCTGTTGATGTTAACAACGGTAACAAAAACAACTCAAATGTTTAAGGTAAAAATTAAATACTGTCACGATAATAATTTGTTATTGTTATTATACCATTCTTTTTAAATTCATACTAGTCTATCTATATAACGACCGATTAGAAAAATAAAATTTGAAAAACCCTAAATTAATGTTCTTCGAAGTTTTCCGTAAAACGATTTGAAAAACCTTGTGGGTTTCTTGTATTGCTTTGTAAATAAGCCGCCGGTTCTTCAGAGAACCATTAGAGAATATTAAGAACCCGTAGGTTCTTTAAAGAACCTTAAATTTTCTCCAAGAACCGGCAAACAACCGCGAAGAACTTTTTGGATTTACAGTGTATGTATGTATGTATGTATCTAAGGTTAAATATTGTGTTGTAATAATATGAAGACTCCAGTATGTGCTACAGAGCTCAATATTATTAAAAAATACTTCATCTATTATTTTAGTTATTATTTATCGGAATTAAAACAGCTGATTAGCAGGACTTGAAGTCTAAACTTGTGATTACTATTGTATATTAGCACAGAGATTATATTTCTCACATTGATTTTTTTTAAATGATAGTTTAATAATTATAATGTTGCAAATAAGCTTAAAATGCGTTTCTTGTGCAAAGTTTTAATTATAGTTATTTTTTTTTAACTATTATATGGACTAAGGTAATTTTTATAAATAAATTTTCCTTAAAAAAATTAACACTTTCAATGGCTTTATTACTGTTTATTGTGACCAATCATTTTAAGTTATAATTACGTCAAAAAATACTTTTTTCGTGCTTTTTACGCAAAAATATTATACATTTCTAAGCAAACTATAGTTTTTAAAATTTTTTGTCACACTTATGCCATTATGTTAATGTAGATATGCGTTAACAGGTTTGTTTTTTTTAATGATAAAATAATAAGTAATTCAACAATCGGCTTAAGTTGAATTACTTATACAAAACACGGCATTTTATTATTGTTATTATTACTATTATTGCTATTATTGCTCTTATTATTATTGCTATTATTATTATTATTATTATTATTATTATTATTATTATTATTATTACAAACACCTGGTATTTTTTCAATGTATTTTGACGACGAAAAAACGCTTGCTTTGTAGTTTGCAGATTTTTTGTTAACAAGTTTAGATTTTTCCCAAATATTTCTCAATAGCTAAAAAATTGCAGTTAATGGTAATAGCTGCAAGGGCATTTATGCATTTATCTATTATTATAAATATGTACACAATATTATAATAATATTTATTAATTTTTGTTTTTAGTGTGCTAGAGTATGATTCAAGTTGGAACAGAAAAGTTTCAAAGCCAGTTGTTTCTATTCCCATAGAAACCTTAGAATTATAATTATTGTTTTTTTGAATGGAATATAAACGAGAAAAATATCAGTCAAGCAAGTTTAAATCGGCTAAAGAAACAGCTGCTTTATATTTTGACATTTAATAATTAAGTTGCATTTAATGCAATAGCTATACCGATTTTTAAAGAATTTTTTTATACTATTGTTGCATTTATATTTATAACGTTGTCACAACTTGGTTTTGTAAAAGTATTTAATAATCTCATTAATGAGTTTTGCAAATTGTAGTAAATACTATTTGTATAAAAACGGAGACATAGTCTCACGTATATATTTATTTATGCACCGGAAAAATGAATTAAAAATAATAACTAAAGCTTTTTATTTCCAGTGGAAGATCATTTAATGAGGGAATTCGCGCTTTCTTCTTTAATAATATACGGGATCGAACTTCGTGTTAAATTTAAAAACCTATTCGTTGCGGTATCAAACGAGTGGCTTCTCAACGTCGCCCCGTGCATTTTTTGCAAGATTAGCATTACATTTAAAAATTTTTATGAAGAGTTTATTTCCAACATTTTAAATTTAAGTTTACTCTAAATAGTTTACAATATTCCCATTTACCAAGTTAACAATTTGCGTATTTTATTTAACCCATACTTCATTATTTCCGTTTTTTTCTCACAACAATATACAAAAAAAAAAACAACTTAAATTTGAAAAAAAAGTTTTTCAAATATGGCTTAACTAATAATATGGCTTAACTATTTGTCAGGCGAATAGTACTAATCGTTAAGCGATTAGTACTATCCGTGAAGCGAATAGTATTAAATCCTCATAATACTATGTCTATAAATATACTATTTGCTCATGGCTTCCACATCCTTAGGCGGAGCACAACGCTGGATTCTTCTGCGGCTCCCCTCGCTAAGGATTGTGCAAACAAAAAAAAGCAAAAATTTTTGTTTTCTTTGCTATAGAAAAGAAAACCAAGAAAAAACATTAGATTTTTCAATTTAAAAAACCGTTTTTTCTTCCAAAATCATTTTTGTTTTTATTTAGAAATTTTTGTATTAAAATAGATTTTAAAATGTTTTAAAGTTAAAACTCAAGTTATCAGTTTTTTCAAAACATAAAGAAACTGAAAGGTTTTAGTGATTTATTTACTTAATGATTGAATCACTTACTTGAAACATGAAACGGTATCAAAACGCCCCCTTTTTAAACATTTATTAAATCCTTAAATTAAAACGACAAAGATAACCTGAATACATTCAACCAAACAAGACCAACTAACCAAACAAGTTTCCTTATTTGACAGTGTACCATAAGTTATTTATATTGGCTTGGCAAACTAAGAATTACTGATCAAATTATGTTTAACAAACTAATAACCAAGTAAAAACTGTGAGATTAAAAAAAAAATCGTAATTTAAAGAATAATTACAAATGTTAAGCTATTGTGCGTGAATGTGTGTATTGATATTTTTTTAAACGTCTTTATTTCCAACAAGGCTGCAAGCAACAACTATTAGAGAGTTGGAACTTACTAAAAGAGAAAAAATGAAGATTATAAAGCAAGATAACGATTAACAGACAACTTAAAAGATTGCAAATTATATGAACCTGGAAAACAAGATAAAGGGAGCGAGTTCCAAATAACTGATTTTTGAGGAAACTAGATGAAAAAGAATTTTAGGAGCTCTTTGGAACTGTCACAAAAAAAATGAAATTTAATTGAAAGACAAGTAACCCAGAATGAGTTTTAGTAGCTGGCACAAAAGACACTAGCTCTTAAGAGCAGCACCCATAATAGTATTTACAGAAAAGAGAAAGAAAAGCAACAAAACAACAATGTGACAATGGTTGAAGGTTTGTTGCAAAAACAGGTCCAATTATGTCTACAATGCGTTTTTGCACCAGGTTTATAAGAGAAAGGGCATTATTCAAAGATCCGCTCCAGATATGGCAAAAGTATATTTCATACAAGAACTGATTTGAGATTTAAAGAGATAAAAATTAATAGCCATAAGTACGATAAAGTAATGCAATCTTAGCAATGGATTTTGCAATGAATTTGATAAATGGTTTCCAAGAAAGACCGGCAGTAATAGTTAATCCTAGAAAACGAAGAGCCATAATTGCGATAACAATTAGAAAAAAGTTAGTTTTATTTGGGTTAAAGTTTGTTTTTTTTTTTTTTTTTTTTTTTTTTTTTTTTTTTTTTTTTTTTACATTTATTTTGCTGCTTAACAAATATAATCAACACATATATATACAAGAAAGAAAGAAATATGTCCGTATAACAAAGAAGACAGTAAAATCTTGTCAACAAGCACCGTTTTTGTATATACAGTATATAAAATAAACTATACTTTTTTACAATGATCTTTATAAAATAAAGAGTTAAACAGACAGGGGCTCAAAGAAGATGAAGATGACAAAACGTCATCGCAATCTTTTCATAGAGCCCCCTATATACATTTTCATTAGGTTATGGATATTAAATTAAATTAAAAACCCTAATGGGCATAAAACTGCTGCGCTGATCAATAAAAACAAATAAATAAGATTATAAAGAAAATTACTTTGTAATCCTTTTAAGCACAAATAATAATCAAATTTTAAAAATTTCTTTTTTTATCAGAAACTTAAATGAACTTAATGACTTTGCCATACATTTTGATATCTATTCCATATATTTGGCCCCCGATATGCAATGCTATATTCAGTATATTTATTAAGGTTTTAAGGCAGTTTATAAGTGTTACTTATATTTGCTCTTAGATAGTAGTTCTCATTTATATTTATTTCAAACTTGTTATTAAAGTTTGTAGGAGAGAGATTATTATTAAATTGATACATAAAAATTAAATGCTGATAGATATTTATTTCAAAAACATCCATCATTTTCATATCTTTCATTATAGGTTTTGCATGCTCCCGCTTATTTTTAAAGTAAATGATTCTGCATGCGTGTTTTTGTAGACTATAGATTTTTTTAAGTTTTGATGGCTGAGTACTTGCCCATGATATGTTTGCATAGCTGATAAAGCAATGAATTAGTCCAAAGTAAATTAGTTTTAGACTTTGTTTATTGATATATGAGCGAACTCTATACATCATACCAATTATATTACTGATTTTAGATTGAATATATCTTATTTGAGGAAGCCAGGATAGCTTCTCATCAACAGGAACTCCTAAGAATCTAATGCTGGCTTGTTTTTTAATTAAGTTATCATTTAGGATAAGGTCAGGCAACTTAAGAGGAAGGTTTTCTTCTTGCGCCTTTTTATGGAATAATATATATTTTGTTTTCTCTGAGTTAAGCGAGAGTTTGTTAGCTCTAAACCAATTATTTACTTTAATTAGTTCGATATTCATGTCTGCATATAGATTCTTGATATCACTGTTAGTATGAAATAGATTTGTATCGTCAGCAAACATGACTGAATTTAGTTTTAAAGATGCATTGCAAAAATCATTTATATAAATTAGAAACAGAAGTGGACTAAGGATAGATCCTTGGGGAACTCCACATAAAACATTTAATACTCCAGATTGTATATTGCATACATATTGTTTTCTATTGGTAAGATAACTTTTAATCCAATTATAAGTTTTATTAATTATACCATAGTATTTTAGTTTATCTAATAGGATGCAGTGGTCAACTGTATCAAAAGCTTTTGATAAGTCAATAAAAACTCCTAAAGTAAATTTGTTTTGATTAAAACCATCGGTTATTTGATTAACTAATTCAATAATTGCATGCTCTGTTGAAAGGTTTTTTTGAAATCCAAACTGGTTTGGGTAAAATAATTTGTTTTTGGTAAAGTGATTATAGATTCTATTATAAATTACACGTTCGAAGAGTTTTGAAAAAACAGAAAGTATTGATATAGGTCTAAAGTTGGTTATGTCCGAATGTTCATTACATTTAAATATAGGAATATATCTAAAAAATAATTGAAAGCTTCGTTGGTGTCCTGACATCTATACACGTTGGACCACGTTTTTTGTTTTAGTCTGATTGATAATTCATTAGTGTTACTTGTTTTAAGATTGCGTTTTTTCAAATTTATAACTTTTGGTTCATAATCAGACATGGTTTTTGAATTTCTTACTTTTATAAATATCGGAAAGTGATCACTAATATCAGTCATGAATATCCCGGTTTCAAGTTCCATTTCCAGGTAATATGTCTCCAATAACGTAAAAAATTTTATTTTCTTTATTTATTTTTTCAATTGTATTGATGATAAAAGTTTCAAATGTTTTGACTTTACCACTTGGTGGACGATAAACGCATCCAATTAAAACATTTCGAATTTTTTTGTTTATGATTTCAACAAATAGACTTTCGTAATTATCATTTGAGAAGCTTAATACATTTTTTATTTTAAAATCGTGCTTTTTTGAGACATAAAGCCCTAACCCTCCACCTTTTTTTCCACTTTTTCTTGGTTGACTTATAAGTTTATAAAATGGTAAATTATAAATAGAATTTAATTCAAGAGAATTTTCGAAATCATGCCAAGTCTCTGAAAGAGCTATGACGTCAAACGTGTAATTTATAATATTTAAAAATTCTTTTAGTTTCTCAAAATTTTGCTGCATGCTTCTAATGTTTATATGTAAAACTGAAAAAGAACAATGATCATTTATTGTTTTAAAATCAAAAAGATCAATATATGGTGTGTCAATTAAGTTAATTGAGTTTCTTGAAAAATATTTATTTTAAAAAGATTAAAAAAATATAACAATAAATTAAACCAAAAACTTTTAAAAAGCTTACTCGTTTCCGTGCGTCAAACAAACAGCTGCGTTGCGTTCGATTGCTTCATTTCCATGCGTCAAGTTAACTACTTTGTGGATGTTTTCTTTAAATTCATGAACAATAAGTTTATTGTACACGACTTTAGCATAATGACCATTTTGACGATGAAGCTTCGCCTGCTCAAAAAGTTCTTTGCGTATTTTACGAGTTGTAAAACTATAATCTTCATTTATAAAAATATTACTCCCCTTTAATTTTATTGCATTTTCTAAGATTACTTTTTTATCTTCAAAATCTCTAAGCTTTAGTACAATGGTTCGCTCTCGTTCTAATTTAGCGAGCCCAACTCGATGGGCTCGTTCAATTTTAATATCTTTCTCGATTCCAAGTTTTACGTTAAAAAGCTGTTTTATTTTTTCTTTAGTTATATCTCAATCCTTTTCTTCATTTGTTTCAATAATCCCATCGATTCTTAAGTTATTGCGCCTGTTTCGATCTTCATTATCTACGCTCTTTAGTTTTAGTTCCGTATTGTCGGAGGATATTTTTCCTTGCATTTTTCTGACATTAGTTAAATCTTCACAAACTTTATTTATTTTTTCGCCTACAGCTTTAACCTTGTCTTCGCATACTCCACGAACAAAATTCAACCCTGATTTTAGATCGTCAAGTTCGCGACGAATATCTTGAATACTCGATTGGAAAATATCAAACTTTAGGTTTGTGCTTGATATTGATTTCCGAAAAAAAGATATAATTGTTTCTTTTTGAAGATTTAACATTTCCCTCATCATTACAATCGATACAAATTCTTCCGATTTAGTCATTCCAGATGACTAAATCGGAAGAATTTCATTACACAAAGAATTATTAATATTTTATATACTTTTTATTACTGCGAAGAAAAACACGTCCGTTCACCACAATGCTCAAAGCTCAAAGTTCACCAGCCTCTGAGAGCCCCATGCTGTAGCAGATCTTTTTCAAGCTCAAATTCCCCCACTAAGCAATCAGAGAATGTTGGATTCTAATCAAGATAAGAATAAATAGTTTGTTTGTTTTTTCTTTTAATTTTTTTTTTGTTACTTTGGTGCCTCAAGAAGAAGAGAAGAGAAGTGCCTCAAGGGTTTTGTCACAGAGCATCGTGAAAGTGTGTTTAACCAGGAAGTTAACGCCTCTTTCTTATCGTGATGCAAAAATATGTCCAAACCTTGATTTATATATATATATATATATATATATATATATATATATATATATATATATATATATATATATATATATATATATATATATATATATATATATATATATATATATATATATATATATATATATATATATATATATATATATATATATATATATATATATATATATATATATATATATATATATATATATATATATATAAGATCACAGCACTACCATGACCGTTTTGTTTCTGAACAAGAAATAAAACAGTCAAGAAAGAGGCTGCAGTATACGTTGACAAGTTTAAATATCCATGTGCATAAATAAAAAAATTATTACAGTTAAAAAAATTATTACTAGCAATAATTTTTTTTAATTTTTGTTAGAATAGTATACTATTCTATAAACAAATCGTACTTTTCGTTTATAGAATAGTATACTATTCGTTTAATGAATACCTGTTTACGAACCTTGAATAAAATCTAATATTAGATATAGATATAGAAGAATAAAGTTTTGAACTGCGTATAATGTGTATTTTTATTATTTGTCTACTATATAATTTTTTAAACATATATTAAAATATTAAATACAACATTAAAATATTGCTGTGATTTGGCTCAAATCATTACAGTCTGAAATCAAGATTACCTCAAAATTTAAGTTCATCAACAGGTTTGAATTTTTATTCATAATTTGTAACTGCATAAGTAATATAAAACAGTACGCACCAATGTCTCCCAGACCAACTTTACAATTGCAATATTTGCAAACTACACAAACTATTTCTCTGATATTATGTATAGACACAAGGTTACATCACTCACTTTTTGAGAATGTTTTATCTAACATATTAGGATTTAAAAACTAAAAATTAAAAGTATAATAAAAAAATTGTTTCTATTTTATTATCGAACTAATAATATTACCTCCCCTGCAATTATTGATAAGTAGATACTTCTCAAATATTTTAAAACTCACTTTTTTTACATGACTACTGTCAAATCCAATTTGGTAACCCAAGCTCACACAAATCAAAAGATTTACATGCTTTTAATTGATTTTAGTTAAAAGACTCTAAGCAAATAAAAAAGAGTTTGCAATATCACGATAAGAAACATTTGGATAGCTACCTAATTTGTTTGAGAAGCATTATCTTTAACGAGATATGGAAAAACATAACTTATAAAAACAATTTTTAATAAATAAATTTGTTCTGCATTTGAATCAAGCCTAGATTGATATTTGGTTTTTGTTAATATTGCACACCAATTTGTTTGTTTTTACCTCCATAAGTGCGGTATAGCTTATTTTCATTTAATTTGATTAAATTAGTCATGAGGTAAGAACGGTATGTAGGAAGTTTGACAAAAAAAGAGAATCTATTTCGTTTTGTTCTACTAAAATATAACCAAAAAATGATTTCAAAAGTTGGTCTACCATACTTTAACAAGCAGTTGTAACTTTTTTAATATTAATGGTTAGAAAAGATCAATTTTTTCAAACGCCGTTGCTAAGATTGTAACCATTAAAAACAGTTTTATTATTTATTTCAGCAGTTTATGTATAAACAAAAATACTTATAGTCTAAATTTAATAAAAGCTTATAAAAAACTTGTAAATTAATTAAATTTATACATAAAATTATGTTAAAATAGAAAAATTTTGTTTAGTAATGATATAGGACCACATCGACTAAATGCTATATTATTAAAGCCCTCTAATTATTAAATCTAAAAGTTACATTTAAATCTGATTTAAGAAGCGCAATATGTCACTTTTTTATCATACTTTTAAGAAGCGCAATATGTCACTTTTTTATCATACTCTTTAAGAAGCGCAATATTTCACTTTTTATCATACTTTTAAGAAGCGCAATATGTCACTTTTTTATCATACTTTTTAAGAAGCGCAATATGTCACTTTTTTATCATACTTTTAAGAAGCGCAATATGTCACTTTTTTTATCATACTTTTTAAGAAGCGCAATATGTCACTTTTTTATCATACTTTTAAGAAGCGCAATATGTCATACTTTTTAAGAAGCGCAATATTTCACTTTTTTATCATACTTTTTAAGAAGCGCATTATTTCACTTTTTTTACTTTTTAAGAAATACTCTATTGATTACTTTTTTTATTATACTTTAATTTTTAAGTTTTGTTACGAAATCTTTTTTACGAAAAAGTCAATATTTGCCATTACAATGATATATTTTTATATTTTTATTGAAACGTAAATTAAGTTCCACAGAATTAACATGACTTGTCAATGATGGTCAATTTTAATTCACTTACGAAAAATGTAATTTATTAATATTATTTTGTTTTGTTTGAGAATGATGGTAATACATATAGATCAGGTCAAATTTATGATCCATACCGGGTGCCACTGAAACACGTAACTTGTTTATTTTGTTGGTTGAATTTTGTGTTAAAGTGCAACTCGAATAAGCGATATTTAACAATAATAAATAAACAACAAATAAACCCATAAGATAGGCTGATGACTAGTAAAACCAAAGAAATTAGCCTATATCAAAAGTTGAATACTTTTATGTGTTTTTATATAATGTATATTTAGATATGTAATATCTAAATATACATTATATGTATCATATGTAATATGTGATATATACCTTTTCCTTTTCAAAAATCATCTGTTACGTCTGCTAAATTAATATTATAGTAGTTTAGTTTAATTAAATTTTTATAAAAAATAAAAATCAAAATTATAAATATATTCAATTATTTTTGAGATCAAAAAGAAAAGAAAAATAATCATCTGATAAAGATTATTTTTATATCAAATTGTAAAAAAATATATATGTCGTAATTTTTGTATATATAAATATATAAAAAATATAAAAACTATATTTAAAAAAATGCTTTTATTATTTTCAAAAAATTTATTGAAAATAAAAATGAAACGTTATTTGGTACTTATGATGTTAATACTCTTAAATGAATGCCTATAATGCTAATGTATGAAATGTATAACAAAATGTTTTGGTCACACTATAAACTTTATTTTTATTATTATTTTTTAATTATTTAATTTTAATTATTTATCTTTAATTCGTGTGGGTAAAACCAACCCATTAAATCATCAAATGTGATATTATTTCTACTATATAAAAACAATTAAAATTAAATTTGAACTTAATTTTTTTTAATTAAAAACTATATTGAATAAAATTATCACAATCACTTACTACACTAGACTACTTCATATATTTATGACCTCTGACCTCTATATAATGATCTAAGACCTCTTTGTTTAAAGTTAAATTGTCAGAGTACTTTTTAGAGTTTTATTGGCAGTTCTATCAGTTAAATAGTTTAACATGGAGCAATACACTTTTTAGTTATAATTGCAAACTTTTTAAAATTACCATTACAAATTTGATTCTTGCTTCTGCAAACAATAGGTTTCAAATGTACAATAGTGCAAATGTTAATTTGTGCGTATTAAAATAAATAATTTTTTTTTTTGAGAATAAATTTGCTTATAAATTTTTTGGCTAAAATTATAAGTGTTATAATTTTTTTAAAAATTTTTGATTTAGAAATATGCAGAATTTTGTTTTACAAAATAACAAAAGTCTAATAGCTTATGCATTGCACTAATGGGACCAAATAAAGACCACGAACTAGAAGAGCTTTTAAATGATAAAGGTTAAAAACTTATAATTTATTTGTTTTTTTATTCACAAAATTTAAAACAATATTTTTATTAATCAAAAGTATTAAGTTTTAATTTTTTTTTTAGCTTTGTTTGGTGATTTTGTGAATGAGGAGTTTGATGTGCAACAGTACACATGCCATGTCATTGAGAATCATAAAGTGAACGAAGCATTGGCTCAGCTAAATATTGGAATAAATGTTCTTAATAAAGAGCTTTTATCACAGGTAGGTGAAAATTTGAATTAATCAGTTTAGCAGATACAAGATATCAGAGCATATTGTATGTACTGAAGTCTCTTTTAATTTTTATTTCAGTGGGTGATTTTCATCATAACTCATCAGTAATTGTATATAAATACACACACACACACACACACACACACACACACACACACACACACACACACACACACACACACACACACACACACACACACACACACAGATATATATATATATATATATATATATATATATATATATATATATATATATATATATATATATATATATATATATATATATATATATATATATATATATATATATATATATATATATAGCCCAGACTAAATGCAAATTATGCCATAAAGAAATTTAACTTTCAAACATGGGTGTTTAAGTACTAAAAAGTCACGAAAAAGGCAAAAAAGCATATTTCAGTTGCAAGCAATTTCTCCTGTTTTTTTAAATTGTTTGCTGCTAAAAATAATAGTTTACCTAATTCAGTGAAAAAGTCTAATTTAAAGATAACTAATTTCTTGAAAGGACTTATTATGAAGCCACTATCTTTAGAATTCATTTTACCAATTTCTAATAAAATTTGTGCAGAAATTATGCTGGCATTCCATTGTTGCTTAAATAAAGTTTCTAACAATTTAAACAAAGATGTAACTAATTTGTTCCAAGCTGTGTTTCCTGACAGTGAGATTGCTAAGTCTTTTTAAATGGGACCAAATAAAGTTGGATATAGTATTACTCATAGTTTTGGGCCTCATTTCAAAGCTTTACTTAAACAACAACTGAGCCTGTTTCCCATGCTTGTTGTGTCCTTCGATGAATGCCTCAACAAAAAAACTCAAACTTGTCAAATAAATTTACTCATCTTATATTGGAATGAGGAGAAAATGCATTTAGAAGTGATGTATAGGGATTCCTCATTTATGGGTAGTACCGGTCTTGATTTTCATAGTATCGGTCTTGATTTGCTGAATCATTTTAATGAAAAGTTAAGTGATCTTAATATCAGCAAGGTTATTCAGGTTGCTATGGATGGACCTAGTGTCCACTTAAAATTTCACAGAGATATTCAAAGCAAATGTTACAAACATAAATCTAAACTTATTGACATAGGCTGGTGTTCTCTACACATAATTCATGATGCTTTCAAAACAAGAGTAAAATCAACTAATTGAGAAATTTAAAAAACATTCAAAAGCTGCTTTATCTTACTTTATGATTCTCCTGCCAGAAGAATTGACTTTATCTCCAAGAATTGACTTTATCTCCAAGAATTGACAGATATAGATATATTTAAGAATTGACAGATACCCCAACGTTACCTCACATTAATAGTGATCTTGTGCAGTTGGTTAAGGGTATTCTTAGGATATTCATTAAATCTGAAACTGTTGAGACTTGTTGAAAACTTGCCAAAATTGTCAATGCTCAAAAAAAATGATGCAGTTATTTTGAAGGATATTGACAAGTTTTAAATTCAATGCATGCATATTTTGATTTCAAAAAAATACCAACTCATGCTTAAGGAAAGTAAATGCTTTATATAGGCAAAGTGATGAGAAAATGAAAGATGTTGCTAGGTTGCAGGGAACATTCCTATGGAGGAAAAGAGAAAGAAACTAAATTAATATTTGTTGCTTTTTGAAAATTTGTTTGTTGATATAAAATAATATTTATGATGATATTTATGCAAATAGTTTGATATTTATGGAAATGGCTAGTTTGCAGTTGAAATGCTTCAATTGTTTTTTGTTTAATAAAATATTTTGCATAGATGTTCTTTGTGTTTACTGGATCACATATGATGAAGTAGACCTTTTTAATTATTTTCTTTAGAAGGATTATTTTAAAAGTAATTTAAAGTCAAGTTTTATTATATCCATTATAATTTGTGTATTGCAAATTATAATGGATATAATAAAACTTGACAAATATAATAGAAAGTTGCTTTTCACAATAATTTTTCTAACAGACTATGTGTCAGTTTCTGTTTCTAGGCCCTGTTACAGCTTGTTTAAACAAAATCTGTCTAAGCTTCTATATTTTCAGTTTATGATGTATTTACTAGATCATGTGCAATTTAATAGGTTAGTCTTGCTATCTGTAGTCTGGCTATTGATGCTCAAAATATTTTTTAAATGTTTCTTAGCTATGTCTTGTTATACTGTGCTATTTTTATCTGAAGATATTGTATACGTGTATACATGGATATATGTATACGTGGGTGCATATATGTAAATATTAAAGATGATTTCTTTATATTATCATGTATAATAATGTATATTTTAAAGAGTGCTCAATAGATAAATTAGAGCTATATAGTATATATTACTGTGACCCGCAGTATCAGGAATTAGCTAAATGCTAATATTTATAATATTATATTGCGACTTAAAGTTTCATGTGTTACCACAATCATCAGGCAAGTAGTCAAAAGTTAATTTTGCTAGGTAGCAAAATATATATATATATATATATATATATATATATATATATATATATATATATATATATATATATATTGTTGTTTTGATTATTTGATAATAATCACCTCTTTTTCGA